GTCAAGTTGCCCAGGCGGGTCTCGAACCCGCGGGCTCAGGCAATCCACTCACCTCAGCCTCCCAAGGCGTGGGATTACAGGCTGAGCCACTGAGCCCGGCTCCTTATCTCCCTTTTTAAGGTATGTATTTTATTTTATTTTTCATTTTTTTATTTCAAAGATGTGGCATAAATTAGCCAGGTCTGGTAGCGGGCGCCTGTGTTTCCAGCTACTTGGAAGGCTGAGGCGGAAGGATCTCCAGAGCCCAGCAGGTCAACGCTGGGGTGGCTGTGAGCATGCCACTGCACTCCAGACGGTGACAGAGTGACACTCTGACTCAAAAAAAGTAAAAAATAAAAATAAATACGTGGGGTACAATTCAGGATTAGGTATACAAGTGGTCATCGTACGGTAAGTTTTGGGTAAGGTATGTATTTTCTTTTCTTTTCCGTTTTTTTTTTTTGAGTTGGAGTCTCGCTCTGTCGCCCAGACTGGAGTGCAGTGGCCGCTCCCGGCCACCGCAGCCTCGACCTGCTGGGCTCCGGCGATCCTTCCGCCTCAGCCTTCGTAGCTGGAACCACAGGCGCAGGCTACCACGCCCGGCTAATTTTTTGATTTATTGTAGAGATGAGGTCTGGCCTAGTTGTCCAGGCAGGTGTCGAACCCGCGGGCTCAGGCAATCCACTCACTTCAGCCTCCCAAGGCGCGGGATTACAGGCTGAGCCACCGAGCCCGGCTCGGTATGTATTTTCAAAGCACTGTATTCTAAACCAGATTTGTTTTGTCGTGGTGGTTTTTGGGTTTTTTAGATTTTATTTTTGCATTTCTGACTTGTGTTTAGCTAGTCATTAATATTTTTCTATAACTTTTTTGTTAAGATACAAAGATAAAATTTAAAGACAATAAATTTTATATATTTCATATATTTCAAAGGTATACTTTGACTTAATTCTTAAAGTCAGTGTCTCACTCTGTGGCCCAGGTTGGAGTGCAGTGGTGCAATCGTAACTCACTGTATGACTGATTTTGACTTACGTATCCTCCTTTGAAATCATCTTCACATTAAAGATTTCAAATATCATCATCCCCAAAAGACTTTTCATACCACCTTTCAATTCATCCCTTCTTTGACTCGTCCCCAACTAACAACTGATCCACTTTTTATTACTAACCGACTTCACATGTTCCAAAATTTTATGCAAATGAAATCATACTGTATGCATTCTTTTTGGCCTGGCTTCTTTCATTCTTCATACTAATTTTGAGACTCATCCATGTTGGATGAATGAACTATTTTTTCCTTTTTATTGTCTATTAATATTTCTTTATGAATTAAAAATAATTTGTTTACTCATTCTCCTGTTGATAAATATTTGCTTGTTTCTAGTTTGGGGACTATTACAAGCAAAGCTATTGTAAATATTTGTGAACAAGACTTTGTCTGAAAATACACAAAATTAGTAGTGGGATGGGTGAATAGTATGGTGGGTATTTTACGTTTAAAGAAACTGCTCTGCTGGGCACGGTGGCTCAAGCCTGTAATCCCAGCACTTTGGGGGACAGAGGCAAGAGGATTGCCTGAGCTCAGGTATTCAAGACCAACCTGGGCAACGTGGCGAGACCTCGTCTCCACGATAAATTAAAAAATTAGCCAGGCATGGTGGCACATGCCTGTGGTTCCAGTTACTTGGAAGGCGGAGGCAGAAGGAACGCCTGAGTCCAGCAGATCGAGGCTGCGGTGGCCAGGAGCATGCCTGTGTGACAGAGTGACTCCAACTCAAAAAAAAAAAAAAACAAAAAAAAGTGCTGCACTGTTTTCCAAATTGGTTGTGCCATTGACTTTCCCACCAGGCGTTCTAGTTGTTCCACATCCTTGCCAAGATTATATAGGCAATCTTTTAAATTTTAACCAAGCTAATGAGTGTGAAGTGGTATTTCATTGTGGTTTTAAGTTGCATTTTCTTAGTGACATGATGTTGAACATCCTTTCATTTGTTTATTTGATACTCATGTAATTTATTTTATTTTTGTTAATTTTATGGACATTTTTCTCCTTTATTTCTTATTTTAAGGATGTGGGGTACAATTCAGGGTTAGGTATACAAATGTTCATTATGCAGGTACCCTTGTTGGTGAGGTGTGCCCCCCCCACCCAGCAGGTTCCCATTACTGTCAATCCCTTTCTTATAGTATTACTATAAGAATACTATTACTATACTATACTATACTATGCTATACTATACTATACTATACTATACTAGTATTATTCAAGGTCCGCTTATGAGTGAGAACGTGATACTCAGTTCTTTGTTTCTGTGTTTCTCAGTATTATAGACTCTAAGTCCATCAAAGTTGCTGCGACGTCCCTATGTTTGTCCTTTGTGGCTGCATAACATTCCATTGTGTATATGTACCACATTTTTTTAATTCAGTCCTCTTTCAATGGGCAGCACGGTTAAATTCCATGTTTTTGCTATTGTGACTAATGCTGCAATAAACATGCGTGTGCAGGTATCTTTTTCATAGTACTCATATCATTTCATTGGTGAAATGGTTCTTCAACTCTTTTTCCAATTAAAAAAATTGGATTGTTTATCTCTTATTATTGAGTTTGGGAGTCTTTACATATTCAGGATATAAGTCCTTTGATATATGTGTTGCAAATATATTTTCTTAGTCTCTGGCTTGCCTGTTGATTTCCTTAATGGTGTCTTTCTAAGAACAAAAGTTTTTATGTTGATAAAGTCTGATTTATCAACGTTTTTTCTTTTTCAATTTATATGTTGTGGTCTAAGAAACAAATTGCAAAAATTTTCTCCTGTGTCTTTTTCCAGAAAGTTTATGGTTTTAGGTTTTAAGTTGTTAAGGATTAAAAGTTTGTTTTCCCCTCAATATTCATATATTGACATTCTAGGCCCCAATGTGAGGTATTAGGTGGTAGAGCCTTTGGGAAATAAATACTACTAAATAATCAAAAGAAGAAAAATAGTTCATTCATTCAACATGGTTGAATCTTGAAATTAGGATGCATTAGTGTCCTTATAAGAGGAAACATGAAAGAAACGATTTCTTTCTTGACCATGGAAGGATATAATGAGAAGACGGCAGTCTGCAAACCAGGAAGAGCAGCCTTCTTCAGACACTGGAACTGCCAATGCCTTGATCTTGACTTGAAACTCCCAGCCTCCAAACTATGAGAAATAAATATCTTTTGTTAAGCCACCCAGTCTATGATACTCTTTTATAGCAACTCAAACTGACTAGGATATACTCAAGTATATAATCCATTTTGAGTTAATTTCCATGTATGGTGAGAAGTAAGGGTTCATGTTTATTGATTTTCATACAGGTATCAAGTTGATTCAACAGTTGTGTTTAGCTAGACATTAATGTTTGGATCAATACTGGATTTTAAAAAATCAAAGGCAATAGACCCTTATATTCATTCATTCAATAAATCTTGGTTGAATATTAAATGCTAAAGTCCCTAGTAGGCTTTGGAGACACACAATGAACAAGATATAACCCTACCTTCAAATAAATTACACTTAGTTGTAAGAGAAATATAAAAATAAATATACTATGATATGAGAAAAGTACATTAGAGCTGTATTTTTCATACCACAACCAATTTTAAAAGTTGCAGCTACCATTTTTTAAAAAATGAAATAAGCCAGGCCCAGTGGCTCACACCTGTAATCAGCACTTTGGGAGGCCAAGGTGAAAAGACTGCCTGAGCTCAGGGGTTCGAGACTAGCCTGTGCAACATGGCAAGACCTTGTCTCTGCAGTAAATCAAAAAAATTAGCAGGGTGTGGTGGCACATGCTTGTAATCCCAGCTACTTGGAAGGCTGAGGCGGAAGGATCACCTGAGCTCAGCAGATCAAGGCTGCGGTGGCCATGATTGTGCCATTGCACTCCAGCTTGGGCAACAGAGTGAGACTCTGACTCAAAAAACAAAACAAAACAAAACAAAATAGAATATATCTAAGTACAAAGCAATATAAATATTGTTTTATAAAATTACACTCTAATTTTTTTTCTGAGTCAGAGTCTTACTCTGTAGCCCAGGCTGGAGTGCAGTGGCACACTCACGGCCACTGTAGCCTTGACCTGCTGGGCTCAGATGATCCTTCCACCTCAGCCTTCCAAGTAACTGGAATTATAGGCACGCACCACCATGCCCAGCTAGTTTTTGATTTGTTGTAGAGATGAGGTCTCACCAAGCTGCCCAGGCTGGTCTCGAACCCATGGGTTCACACAATCCTTTCACCTTGGCCTCCCAAAGTGCTGGGATTATAGGTGTGAGCCACCATGCCCAGTCTTTTCCAATTTTATAGTAAGTCCCCTACATACCATCCTTCAAGTTGTGAACTTTTAATGATGAAAATGTGCATTTGCATTATTTAAGGAAGCACTGTTAGTTTTTGAAGCACAGGACCCAAATGTAGAATAGTACATGAAGGTTGCAGCCGCTGTTTAGAATTCAATCCAAGGCTATTGTGTCATTTAAGATGGAAATAAAGGGGCTACTGCCTAGACATCACTGAGTCATTTTTGTTTTTGTTTTTGTTTTTTCAATGTTGAATTTCCTTTAATGACTCCCATCTTCCTGAAGGGCAGGTGCAGGAGCAGGGGATGGCAAGAGAAGTTCACTTGAAGAGCTTGCCCTGATTGAAGGCTTTGCCCACATGCTGGAGGGCCCCCTTCCAGGAAAAGTACTAACACCAGCATTTGAGCCTTCTTGCTGCCAGGATCCGGTTTCTGCTGTGTGTATGACTTGTAGTCCACCTGCCAATCTGGACTCAGTGGACAGGCAAGCTCCTGGCCTCAGAAGACCCAGACTCCAGAAATGGAGCTGCTGTTGTTGGCTCCCAATAGGATGACACTGGCAAAGGCATTCTTCCTCAGCTTGTCCAATCGCTGGAACATTCCAGTAATGAGATTGCAACTCATAAGGGTTCGAGTGAGCTCTTTGGGGAAGTGGTACTCAGAATACCACAGGAACCAGCCATCCTTATCAAAGTACTCCCAGAAATATGGCAGCACCACAGAGAGTGTGTCCTTGTTCAAGTATTAGCACTTAAATTCATCCAACACAAAGGTACTCTTTGGCAGGTGAACGAAGGGGTCTTTGGCCTTGGGCTCAGCAGCCAGGGCCTGCTCACTTTCATCCATTTCCTCCTCAGGAGCAGGGATGGCTGCCTTTTTCTCCTCCTCCTGCTCAGCCTGGGTCTTCTGCTTCTCTTCTTGTGAACCCTTTTCCTTCCGTGGGGTGTCCTTTTTAGGCTGACTCTCTGCAAACTTTTTAGCATCAAACTGGGCCATCTTCTCACAAAGTTTCACCTCCCCCAAGACAGCACGGAACTAGGGCTGGTTAATGTAGGTATAGAACCAGCGATTGGTATTGGGAAAGGCCTGGCAGAAAGAAGACTCCAGAACTTGCTTATAGAGCCACAACAGGGTGCAAACAACTGTCATGTCAGCCAGTGTCACTCATTCGCCCACCAGAAAAGTCCTCGTCTTCAAGTGAGCATCCAGCAGCCCCAGAATTCCCCTCACCTCCTCCTTTGCATGCTCAGTGGCCTGTTTGTTGTGATGCATGAAGCCCAAAGTGGGGAACACCTAGGTCCTGTCTGGGGGCACTATGTCACTATCAGCAAAGCTCACCCGCTGCACCACCCGAGCCACTGCCTCTGGAGTACTTCCACGCAGCTCCTCATTGCTCACATAGTAGGCAATGGCATTGTTCTCGAACACATAGAAACCATCGTCATCCTGGAATCTTGCCAGCAGGAAATTTGTGGAGAAATTCAGGGGTGCGGTTGGTTTGGCCAAAATGGAGGTGGGGTGATGCAGAGAGCATGTGGATCTGAGCCCTGCTGTACTGAGCAAACAATGAGAGCCTTGAAGTTCCTCCAGTTTTCAGGCATTGTGTACACGGTCCCAGTCGCCATGGCCATTCCACAGAGAAAGGTGGTCACTGAATCTTTTTTGTTTGTTTGTTTGAGTTGGAGTCTCCCTCTGTCTCTCAGACTGGAGGTCAGTAGCACGTTCACACCAACTCAGCATCGACCTGCTGGACTCTGGTGATTCTTCGGCCTCAGCCTTCTAGGTAGGTGGAACTACAGACATGCGCCATCATGCCATCATGTAATTTTTTAAAAAATTTATTTATTGCAGAAATGAGGTCTCACCAAGTTGCCCAGGCTGGTCTCAAACTTGTGAGCTCAGGCAATCCTCTTACCTCAGCCTCTCAAAATGCTGGGATTATAAGCATGGGCCACCGTGCGGCCTCATTGAATCATTTTTTAAGATGGTAGGTAGAAGTGAATCCAGCAAGCAATTGAATGCCTTCAACGTCAGGCGTGAGTGAAATTGTAGCTTGTCGTCTGTCTCCTATTGCTGACAATGCTTCAGCTCCACCATCTTCCACCTCCTCTCCCTCCTCCAGTCAGAAACTCTTCTTGTCTGTTTGCTCAATGCCAGCCCCTGTATGCCAGCTGTTGTACTGTACTACTGTACTTTTCGAGGTACTGAACTCTAAGATTAAAAATTTTATTTTAGCTTGGTGTGGTGGCTCACGCCTATAATCTCAGCATTTTGGGAGGTGGAGGTTAGAGGATTGCCTGAGTTCAGGGGTTCGAGACCAGCCTGGGCAACTTGGCAAGCCCTCATCTCTACAATAAATCAAAAATTGAGCCAGGCGTGGTGGCGCATGCCTGTAGTTCCAGCTCCTTGGAAGGCTGAGGCGGAAGGATCACCTGAGCCCAGCAGGTTAAGGCTGCCATGACTGTGAGCGTGCCACTGCAATCCAGCTTGGGCGACAGAGTGAGACTCTGACTCCCAAAAAAAGTACTCTCCATTTGATGCAATACACCTATTGAGATGCTTTTTCCACTGCTCAAAATAGTTTTTGAACTTGTCCATTTTGATGCTTCTGCTGTTTTTTTAATCACCTCTTCCACATCAGTAAAACGTTTCCTTTGAGGACTTTTTTCATCCCAGGAAACAAAAAAAGTCGCTTAGGGTGAGATCAGGGAGGGTGGGGTACGGGGGTCATGCCATTTTGGTCAAAAACTTCTGAACACCCAGAGTGGTGTGAGCAAGTGTGCTTGTAAATCACCCGTCATGAAATGGGCAAATGCGTTGAAAATATCTCCAAAAAACCCCCAATTCACTGAAGCTGAATGCAGCCTCTCACAGCAATGCTAGCTGGTACACACGAATGCCAATGGATTCCTAGAACACTTCCCTAGCAGGGGAAGCCTGTATTGTTTTGGGCATGCCCTCCAAAAAATAATTTCATTTGTCAGGGGGATATCCCCTTGTAAAGTGGTGGGCAATCTAATGAAAGACTGTGAGCAACAAACACCTAGCAGGGAGTTATCACCAGGAAAGGGATAACTGCTGAGCTGAGTGTCAAGGCAGGGTCTGGGGGCAACGCATTGCAAAGAAAAGGAACAGCATATGCAAAGACCTGGAAATATGCACAGCTGTGACAAGTTGTAAAAATGATGAGAAAGCTGGGCACAGTGGCCAACGTCCAAAATCCCAGCCCTTTGGGAGGCTGAGGTGAGAGGATTGCCTGAGCCCACGGGTTCGAGACCAGCCTGGGCAACTTGGAGAGACCTCTTCTCTACAATAAATAAATAAGTAAATAAGCTGGATGTGGTGGTACGTTCCTGTAGTTCCAGCTAGTTGGATGGCTGGGGTGGAAGGATGACCTGAGTCCAGCAGGTTGAGGCTGTGGTGGCCGTGAGTGTGCCACTGCACTCTAGCCTGGGTGACAGAATAAGATTCCAACTAAAAAAAAAAAAAGAATGATGAGAAATTTCCTGTGTCAAAACAAAGAATGCTATAGAGTGGCTCAGGGTAAAGAATGGGTGGAAAAAGATGAGACCGGAAATGTAGGCTGGGGGTGGGTACTGTGAAGGACCTTTTATGATGTACTGGTAAGATTAGCCTTAGTGGCTGGGCCTGTATTTTTCTTTCTTTCTTCTTTTTTTTTTTTGAGTTGGAGTCTCACTCTGTCGCCCCGACTG